CTCCTGCCTCCCTTGCCCGCTCCCAGGACCCCAGAGGAGCTCCCCTGCCAACCTCCCACGGGTAAACCTTCTCTCAGAGGCAGCTTCCTGGGGACCCCAACCCAAGACATCATGTGAGTTAACCTTATTTCAACATATTTAGTTATATTTACCTGAAATATGCCACAGAGTTTGATGTGGCTGTTTTATATTCCTTTCTTCCCCACACCTCTGGCAGTAAATCCCCCCAACTTTTGTCAACACACCGCAGTGTCGTTTTCCTGTTACTGCCTCTCGACAGCATTGCGTCCTGGGCCTTTTGAAGCCTAGAAGCTTGGCCTTCGACTCAGCACAGAAGAGCCGCCTGGGGGGTGTGCCTGGCAGTCACGGAGAGTTTGGGAACCTGCTGTCCCCACGGCCAGCCTTTCCAGACTTAGAGCTTTGAAGGCCGGGGAGTGGCCCTGACCCAGGCCTTACGTGGGTCCCCAAATAGATGTCATAAAGGATGCCAGGCTATTAGCTCGGAACTCCCCCTTCCGGTTGTCTTTCCCTAAATGGTTTAAGTTTTGGTCACTGTCTGTAAAATCTTCATGGGAAATAAAATTCTTTTAGTACGTTGTTGACATTTTCATGCCTTCACAAACACTGCATGTGAATAGTTAGATTTACTTTGATTTATTTACACCCATGGATGCAGACTTCATGTTTCAGAAATATTAGCCTGGCTAGAAGTTTTATTTCCCAGCCCTGCTGATAAACAAATAAGTAAGTAAAACCACTGTGGGATGAACATGGGAAAGGAAGCACGCCCATTGTTGACACTCGGGGGTGCCCATGTCACCCCCTGGGTTCGCTTTGCTCCCCACAGTCTGCTCTCTGCCCAGCAGCCACATGCTCCTGTAAAAATGTGGGCTGGCTCCTGTTCCTGCCGTGTTCCAGACCCTGCAGAGATCCCTCTGATGTCACAGTCCTCACCCTCCCTCTCTACCACTCTGCTCCCGTTGCAGCCTCCACGCCGTTCCTGGAATGTGCAGCACAAAGTCCAGCCCTAGCCTCTGCCCCAGCGCCTCCGTCTACTCGTCTACTCCAGACATGCTTCTCCCAGCGCTCTGCTGGCTGACTCCCTCGCCCAGTGTTTGCTCCCGTCTCTCCTCTCCTGAAACAGGTGCCTGCTCTAACACCTGCTTCACGCGGTGACCACCAGTCTCATCCCACTCCCCATCTCCACCCTATAGCTCCTGCCCTGCTCTAGTTTTCTTCTTTATGTGGCACTTATCACATTCTGACCCCCTCAGAGGTGCATTTCCGATAAAGCTGATGAAACTTGAGCTTCAGGGCCCCTTCCTTGCTCCGGCCCCTTCCAAAACCCTGGGAGATGCCCTGGCAATGTGTGCACATGGCCACATGTTCCTGTAAAATTTGCAAACCTAACGTATTCTGCCTCTAACTGGTTGAGGCCGTTGTCTGTTTCCACTCCAGCTTCCTCTCTGTCGAACTTCCCCTTGCACCAGGCGGCATGGAAGTGGCAGCCGTAGGCATTTTTGGGGTCCGGCTAAGGGGAAATCCAACTGGGGCTTCATTTAGTCTAGGTGTAGTGGAATGTGGTTAGCGGTTCCCGTCGCTTCCCTGTGTGGTTCAGTTAGCGCCGGCCGTCCTGTGTGCGGAGGGCTCCGTGAAGACAGCTGCTGCCTGCTGGCGGTGTGTGCACAGCCCTCTGAATGTGCCCAGCGTGCCTGCACCGTGGCGTTGTGGGTGACGGAGGAGAAACACTGTCGTTAACAAAGCTGATCTGCAGGGACCCTTCCACACGTTACAGCTCATAGTGAAAGAAATCTGATCAAGCTTTCCCCAAACTCGAAATCAGTCCTAGAAATTTTTTATGAAATGATCGATGGAGTTGTGAAGCTGAGAGAGATTTTTCTAATCAATGCTAAAAAATTTTTTTGATTAACCCTGCTGTAGGGAAAATGGAATTATCTTTCTATTCTCCTTATAGACAATGTTACAAAATTACCATATGAAGAGGTGATCAAAGACATTTCAGCCAAAAAAATGCATGTTGGATAGTTAATTAATGAATATATTTTGTGACTCTTTCTGGATTTTGTAATGTTTTTGCTTTGTGTGAACTTTTTAATACATGTAAATTGTGATTTGTTTTCTTGTTTTAAATGATTTTTTTTTCTGGTGTGGAACATTGGCCCTGAGATAACATCTGTTGCCAGTCCTTCTCCAGTTTGTATGTAGGATGCCACCACAGCGTGGCTTGATAAGCGGTGTGTAGGTTTGCCCCCAGGATCCAAACCCACGAACCCTGGGCCACCAAAGCAGAGAGCATGAACTTAACCACTACACCACTGGGCTGGCCCCTTAAATGAATATTTTATATCTAGTTTTACGTTGGTAATTTTGCATTCTTTTTGTTGAGGAAGGCTCACCAAATTGTATAAAGTTCAGGCCTAAGGAGGCCTGATGTACCCCGGCCGTCCTGCATGATTTGCTTGTTATTCTGTTCCTCAGCAGCAGGAGTCTTGTTCCACCGTGCATCTTCAGCACCTGAGCACTGCTCAACACGTGTGGGTGCTCAATAAGTGTCGGCTGGATGAATGAATCATTAACAACATTACGATGAAACGGTGGTGTTAATCTAATTTAATCCTGCTCGAGAAAAGTCAACATTGACGTGAAGGACAGTGAAAAGATTATAGTTCATGGAAAACACTCCTCCTTAAAACTCTGTACTTTGTGTAACTAAGGGCGTAGAATTCCTATTCTTAGGTATTTTCTGCAGTAGTCACTAGCTGCCATGTTTTTCAAGAGGATCTGGATCATTTTTCCTTAGGTTCCATTACCTTACTCCTTGGGACCCAAGACTGTCCTCAGCTGGCTTTATGCATCACCCACTCCAGGGTGAGAATTCACACCTGTAGGGAGGGGACGCTGTGCAGACAGCCACTGGGAAGCCAGTACAGCAGTCGGTTTTCCTTGAGCAGGAAATAAAGGTAGACTCTTTGCTTCACTCTGTCTAGACAATCATAGAAACACTGGAAAACTGTCTTTATTTAGACATTGGGCAATAGAAGTAAAAATGCATCTTATGCACAGGAAGAAAAAACAAGTACAAAACTTGGATTTAGAAAAAATGGGCCTAATAATATAGAGACTTTAAAAACCAGAGCTGGTCCTTAAGAAAGGCAGACTCGTAGGATTTCAGCTTGGGGAATTTTTTTTTTTTTTGTAGAAATACAGAAAAAACATATTATACGAATGACTAGTGGAGGGCAGCCTTCTTTCACTTGAACACCTAAAAGATACCTCTTTACTCTTTTTTCAAAATGCCCTTATTTTTGGAGGCCAGAGCCTTTTTTCGAGAACCTTTTCCGGCCGTAGAAGGAGAGACATTAGCTGTGGTGAGGAAGGCAGCGAGCTAGCGAGGTCTCAGTGTCGGCCGAGTCCTGTTCGCTCCCTCGGTTTGGCAGTTAGCTCTCACTCTGCGATTTCCAGAATACGGTTTGCTCCCCTCTGATCCCATGTCTAGCAAGTCTTGACAGAGGAACATCAATAAGTTCCCCAAACTGAGCTTTGTCAGCACCGACCTTGCAGAATGCGCGCCACCTGAGTCGTGGCCGTCACTGCTCAGTGTCTCTGTTGTTTACGAGTTTGGTTCCAGATTAGGACCCACGAGACTGTTAGGGCAGTGGGATTCTCCTCCCACATTATTTCTACAGGCTTGCAGGCTTCAGTTGCATTTACACAGTTCCTTGCAAAAATAGAGAGAGTTCTTGCTCACAGATGTGTCTTCACTCGGAATGGAGGTTTAAAAAAATCTCCATTCGAGAAAGGTACTGCGGGGTGTGGAATGTCAGTGCACGGAGGCCGACAGCTGTCCCACCTGCCCTGGACTCAGTGCGAGGGAGAGCCCCGAGTGGAGAAAGCCCCTCAACTCTTGAAGGGTATTACTCTTTTTAAGAAAATCTCTGCTTTTGGTAAAGTCTGACGAAGTGCTATTGACGCACATTATTTCCCGAACTAATTAAACAACTTTCCAACTGTCTCAGGAGTAAAACCAGTAGTCTTTTTTCTTTTTAAATAAGGTATTCTCCCAAGTTATCTGCTCTGGAAATAGCCCTAGACATAAATGAAATGGCCACTCTGATGTGATAGGTGTGTCAGAAAGGGAAGAAAAGAACTTTCGAGAAAAAAGAAAATAAAAAGCAAGGATTAAGTTGTTCATCAGGCCTCTTGGCCTGCGTCCGTTCTAGCCTGGTCAACGGCACACCCCACTGGGGTCCTCAGTGTGGTCAGAGGTGGTGCTCCCTCCATGGAGGCCCCCTTCACGACTGGTTTATTGGGAGACTTTTGACCAGAGCATTTGCCAGATTTTTTTTTTCCAGCAAGTGTTGCATGATGCAATGTTACAGATTTTCCCTCTGTTCTCCCAACAACTTGTAGCGTAGATGCACTTCAAATGGACGGCTTTCATCCCACTGTTGTGCAATAAATCTGTCATGTTGAATTTCCTTTTAGTGAGTCAAAAGATGAGCTGAACACTGATGTTTTTAAAATATAAATCAAACATTCCTCACATAATTTGTGGCTTTGTGTCTTTCAAGAAGAATGAAATGAGCTTGTTAATTGGTTGCCAGCTGACCTTTCTCTGACACTTGCCCCATTTAAGCATCCAGTGAAGTCCATGATTCCTCCACTACCATCTGCGGTTTCCTTCTGTTTCAGGATTGTAGGGAGTGCCGGTCAAGGTTAAAGACACTGGGACCGAGAGGAGAAACAAGGGGCTTTCTTTAGACCCTTCTAGGCCTGTTGATCTTCATTGCCAGTTCCCTGTACGTGTTCGCACAGGTGGTCCTTGCTTTGCAAAGTTCCCATATGCATGACTTTCGGTCAACACCATGCTATGCAAAGCCTGGATTGCTTACATTTATATCTGTAGGTACGAATATATGTACGTGTGTGAGTGTGCGCGCATGTATTTATTTTTAATTTTGAATGCACTTATTTTGCAGATATTTGAAAATGGTAAAGACACTGGAGAGATCTCTGTTTTTATCAGCAAAAAAGATCTGGGGTCTAACAGCCCAGCTCACACCGGCGATGTGATGGAAAGAGTGAGTTTACTGACATTTATTCATGACTATAAAATTTCTTCCAAGTTACTTGTAGTTAATTTAAACAATTACATCTTGAAAGTTGCCGAGCAAAGATCAACCATTTGCTGGTCTGGGGTGACTAATATCTCAGGATTGGCTTCTGAATCCCTTAGGCTCGCAGCTCCAGTGCGGAGTTAACTCCTGGCCTCTTACTTACAGCATCTTAACCGTCATTATGCTTGTATCTGGAAATCTGTGTACACTGGACTCTGGGATTGCCCTCTTCTTTACACTTTGAAAAGAAGTGACACGAAATTCAGTGGAGGGTATGTTCTTGGTCTAGGGTGTCTCCACGCTCTGGACCCTGTGCGCCTGACGTGCAGCCGTGGTCTCCTGTGCTCACGTGAGCAAGTCCAGATGGGTCATCTCAGGCATCTTACCTTTGCCTGTTTTCCAAATAATTGAGATGTTTCTCAGGCAGAACCAACATGTTCAGGCTCTTTATTTTGGGTCTTCATCTTGTATAAAAGAACACTGAATACCCTGTTGTTTACAAATTGGGGTTATGCGCCCCAGCGCACATCAGTGTTTTGGGCTCTGTTGCTTGGCCTTTGTTCAGAAACTTGCTCCTTTTTTTCCCCTTCAGCTCAGCACCCTGAGACTTACCTCTCCCTGGTGGTATCTGTCACCTCGCCTCTACAGTCAGTCACAAAAGTTGCATAGAATTCAGAGACTCTCCCCTGACCATTATCTGGGCCTGGAAGAGATGGGAAACACCACTTGATTAATGAAGGAGCAAGAGATCAAGAGCCTTGGCTGGTTTCTTTTTACCATCACATCCCTGCCTGTACGAATCACCATGATACACAAGCCTTCCTAGAATTCTCTACCTGTCTTCCCTCTTTTTCACATTAGAAATTTCACTTTTTGGTTCACATTAAAATTGAATTGGTGGGGCTGGCCCGGTGGTGCAGCGGTTAAGTTCGTGCACTCCGCTTCAGCAGTCCAGGGTTTACCACTTCAGATCCCGGGCGTGGACCTATGTACCACTCATCAAGCCATGCTGTGGCAGACATCCCGTACATAAAGTAGAGGAAGATGGGCATGGATGTTAGCTCAGGGCCAATCTTCCTCAAAAAAAAATTGAATTGGCATTTATATTATACAGGAAAGTTTTCGTGTTGGCTTATGGCACACGGAAATTGATCTGTGCTTTGCTTCTGTAGGCAAGTAGATCTGGGGAAAACCTTGAGTTAGGAACATTGTAAATCTCTTTGTTGGGGAGATCCCTTGTGACACCCAAGGATGACTGTTTCCTGGTGCACACTTGTTTCAATCACTAGCCTAAGATGTTTCACACTCTTCTCAGGTCCCTGAGCAAATTTCATCTATAAGGGCCTGGTGATGATAGCTTGAATGATAGAAGGGTGACGATGATCACAATTTTTGGTCACCATGGTCCAGCCCTAACCAATGGCCTGGAGATGAAAGGCACTGAGGCCCCTGCCTTCTGTGGGCTGTCAGTGCTTGTCTTTGAACACCTAAAATTCAGTCTGTCACCAAGTTGAGAAAATAGAGATTGCAGTGCAACTCCTGTGAGAGTGAATTTGGTTAAGGGGTCAGGTATTCTTGTCCCTTCCCTGCCACAGACTCCTGTACTTTGTGTACACATCTCTCTCCTGCGTCTGGCCTTAAATCTTTTATATCTTTCCCTTTTACAAAAGAGGTGATGCCTGTAAAGCAAAATCTCTATGATTTAAAAAATGATCAGCATTATATGTTTTCTAAAGTAATAGGAAGGCAATAAAAAATAAGCTCAAGGGCTGAGAACACACGGAAATAAAGGTAGGGCTTTGTAAACACAACCCATAGATTTCAAAATGTGATTGTGGCTCCAATGAAAAAAACGAAAGGATATAGATTTCTACTATGCTAACATATCTGCCTATTGTACTCCTAAGGAGAACAGTAACCATTATTTTTAATTCTAGGGACTTGGCTATGCTGGATGAGAAGTATTAACTTTAGTGAAATGAAAAATGTGTCATCATTTTCAGGCTTTCTGATGCTCAAGGCTAAAAATCTGGTCAATGTCGAGCTGATGAAGTGGAGATATGATTATTTATCTCTAATTAGGACAAAGCCTAATTCTTAGGCATTCTACAAATATAGTTGCTGGTCAAAGAAAATGTTTTACTCGGTCAAGAGTTTGTAGCCAAGAGGCGAGGAAACCTGAGACATGACAGGATTGCAGCCTCTCTGCTTTCCTCTGAGCCGGGCATTTAGCACGCCTCCGTACACCTTCAGTAGGAGTTAACAGAAGGAGCAAGTAAGCGCCCCGAACAGCAGCCAGGCAAGAAAAGGCCACCCCGTACCGCATCCCTGCCAAGATTACAGAGTAAGAAGAAATTGAGAGGCACAGGAGCTGACAAGGGAGAGAAGACAGGACTCGCGTGACAGCAGGCTATGGGGGAGCAGAGTGATGGACAGTGTGGGGCGCAGAGCGGGGGAAGCAGAGGCCTGAGCACAGGCCACGGGGACAGATAATCACAGAGAAAGTCTTTTAAATCCCATGTGCAACACAGTGCAGTTGGATTTCCTTTCATCTGAAATCTACCTTAAATCAGAAATGTCTCGGCAATGTAGAGACCCTAGATGTAAGCTGAGGCAGACACTGGCAATGCCGTTGTTTAGGCTATGGCATGACAGCATTTCGTACCTCGCACCTCAGTTACGGCCTATTCACAACTTGGAAACATCCATCATTGAGGCTGCTCGCAGGCTTCTGCAGGACTCTTAATTAAAATACATCCGGGAGGAGTTCTCCTTGGTGAACTGACGTGGGAGGAGAGCTGTGTTATTTTGCAGTCCTGTTGTACTGTGGGTGATCTGAGGTTGGTTGGGGCGGGGGGCCGGCCGATTGTAGAACCTGAACGCGCTCTGGAAGGACCCTGGCAAGATGTGTAGCTCAGACACGAAAGCATCACCCTTATCGAAGAGGCTTTTATGGCGTGTGGAAGCTAAATGCTTTCTGCAGACGTCTCTGCTCCCGGCCTGAGCCAGAGGGCTGGAGCTCAGCCACAGGCCTGTGGCACCCCCTGCTGGTTACAGTCCAGGCTCATCCTGGTCCTTTCCCCTGAGCTAAACGTCGCCGTCATTTCACACTTCTTTGAACATTCTCTGTGAATTTTATTATCGTTTGTTTGGACTTCATTTGTTACCTAGTAGAGACAGTCTATTACAGAAGTTCACATTTTACCTTATTTCCTCTTCTTCATTTTTTTCCCCCACCACCAGTTACTTCTCAAGATTCATCAAAGGCTTCAAGGCTCTTCTATCAACCCGTCAGGCCTCAATTTTTCTTCCACCCGGCTTTTTGATGAGCATGGTCACGAAATTAGGAACCCACTTTTGCTGAAGAATGGGCAAAAACTTTGGGTCTCTCATGGTGAAGCATACAGGTAGGAGTGAGTGTGTGTTCTCTGTCTGTCCTCGGTCCCCCCAGGGGCAAGCGGATGTCAAAGGAGAGCTGAGAAACCACGTAGTCCACTTTACGAATATTTTTTTCATTTTGAGTTCTAATAAAATTTCAGGGGCGTTTTTTGTGAGGCAGTATTGTTTGTGGGATATGACATCTCTCTCTGTCTGTCCTAATGCCTTGTCATAGTTCTTGAAGTCTGCCTGTCAGCACAGCAAGTGGGATTTCTTCATGTCTGAGTAGTCACCTTAATGATAGCAGATGGAAACGCCGCGGGGGGCCAAGCCCATCACACTGTCATTGTCGCACACTGCCCTGACCTGCTTCCACTCCTCTATTTTTTTGTCCCTTTTTAAAGGAGAAATGGATGGTAATTGAAAAGGATCTTAAGCAAGATTTATGAAGCTGTAGACAACATGATTCCCCACTATCTCTCTATGTTTTCACAAATAAAGTCTTAACCTTTTAAGCACCAATGACAGGACAGCTAAAGATAAATTGGTAAAGCTTGTAAGTCCTATCTTATCGAAGTTATATTCCTCAAAAGCGCCCTACATTACCCGACAATAATTACTGGTTATTGCTGAGCATTGTGTAAATTTTTGTAGATTGGTAAATTCCTGCATAAAATTATCTTCGTTTCTGAGAAAAGAAAAAGGCTGCAATGTGCAGGCCTGATGGGCTGGGCTGTTGTGTGGAATATCTGGAAATATATGCATATTTTGACAGGGCACATCCAGATGAAGTCTGAAACTGCTTGTCAGGAAACTCAAACACACTTTTCTGACTACTTTTAATTTTAATTTTTTTTTAGCTCTTTGTTTATCTGAAGAGCAGAGTAGGGGAAAAAGGGGAAAATAATTTTGGTTTTTGAGTATAACTGATCGTGTATTAATTATAATGAAAATAGCGTAGACAGAACTAGGAGCTGGTTGTATTTGCTATGTATTCTAATAGTCAAAATGTCAAATCCTGAAACAAATCTACCCAGAAATCCGTGAAAGCTTTGGAGGGAGTTGTCAGGATAGGTTGTGGATAGCATATTACAAAGTTGAATTTCATCCCTCCCAGGAGAGTGAAATTAAAATGCTTAATAATTTCTTATGCTGTGTAATTTACAGAATTAAAAGTATCCGTAAGGAATGGTGTTTTCTTCCGTGGGCAGATTCCCAAATGTGCTTTAGTTACATCGTGACAATTGTTTTTATAGTGATAAAAACAGTGATGCATTTTAAAGTGGCCAGAATTCTTGCATAATTTAGCAAGGTCTTCCAATTACAAGGAGAGGCTTTAATAAAATGTGTGTCTAACGGTTTCTTCTTAAATATCATTGTTAAAGTGAAAGCAATGACTGACTAATTTTGATGTTTTTAATGATGTTTACTATAATACAGTATTTTAATAAGATCAAACACATGTTCTTGATTAATTGGATCATATTTGTGGAATAACTAGTAAAATGCTAGGTATCTGGAATGTTCTAAAATCAGTTAAGGATTGTAGCTGGAGGAATTTGTAAGTGTGTATATTTGTATATCATTGTTATTTTAACAGGATAATGCATTTTTTTCTGGTTTGAATCCAATATAAAGCATTGGGGAACATGATAGCATTTTGTTACTATTGGAACTTCTAAAGTTTATGTCTAAAAAGTTATTTCCGTCTAGTTTAGAATAGATTGAGCAAATGTGCAATATGTAGTAAGTAAATGATATTCATTTTCAGAGAGTGATTCTAACGTGTCTAATATATGTTGAGATGGTGCGTCGGCTTACTTATTGGCAAAGGGCGATTTTGCCAATATCTGCTTCTGTTTTGAGTTCTTTATGATTTTTCTCCCAATTTTTATTTTGAAAAATATCCAGTCTACAACCCAACACCATGAAGAATAGTACAATGACGGTCTATCCATCCTTCACCTAGGTTCACCAACTTAAACAGTTTGCTCATTTGTTTTCTCTCTCTTGTCTCTCCCTCCCTCTCTTTTGAACAATTTGAGATTAGTCCCAGACAGTCGTGAAAGTTCTCCTCGTAACCCTTCATGTCGCAGCCCTGGTGAGCAGGGCGTTCTTCTGTACCACCTCGTTATCCTCCCTGACACAGTCAGCAGTAACGTAATATCGTCTAACGAACAATCGATATCCAGACTACCCAAAATGTGCCTTAGAGCTTTTTGTAATCCAGGATCCAAACATACTTCATATATTGCATTTAGTTATTTTCTTTAGTTCTCTTTACTCTAGAATACTCCTCAGTCTTTTGTTTTGTTTTCCTGCTGTTGACTTTTTGGAAGAGTTCAGGTGCTTTGCTTGTAGAATGTCCCACATTCTGGATTTGTCTGTTTGAATATTTTTGACAATACCACACAGATGATGTGGTTGAGTCCTATAATTCTAGAGTTAAATAGCAAATCTGTGTCACCAATTTAGAAAAAAATGGCTCATAGTTGAATAGTGGTTGTTCTTTTTATTTAATATCCATTTTCTATTTGATTTTAATTCTGAAATAATTAAATTAACCTAAAACAATGTACCTGACAGTATATAATATGAAAAATTAAATCAGCATAGCATTTACTGAACTCACAAAAAAATAGCTGTTTGTAGACAAATATCAAAGATTCGTTTAATTATCAGCTCCAAAGATTATTATGGATATATTGCACTGCAGTTATACATGAAAAAATAACATTATATTAATGGCAACTGGTTGTTTTTCTCAACTAATACTTTGCTTTTGCTATTGAAATTATTTTTAAAAATTACATGTGTTGCAACTATCGTTGGTATATTATAAATCAGCCAAATAAACTACAATGTGCATTTCAGGTCTCAGTATAGGACACCAACAATGGTGCTGTATAATAGGAAATTCACTTATTTCTGGATTTCACTAGACACTGGTATTGTATGTTTTATTATTTATTTGTACTCAAATTTCAATGTTTGTATAATTTTGCAGCTGGCTTTGATGTTTTTTTCCATTTTTCAGATCTCCACTAAACCCTGTTTTGGGTTTGACCTTTGACCAGGTGGCTGCATTTGCCAGAGGTGGCATTACAGTCGCATATAAAACCTTCTTGGACCCCAGTGCTGCTCTGCTCCCAGGATGTGACAAGTAAATTAACATGTGCTTGGTTACAGTAATCTGATTCGCCTAATTCAAATTTCCCAGAGTGAGAGATTGAAACACTAAAAGTTGTTCTTTGAATCATGTTAAATAAGCAATTATTTGTTTTATTGATTTATTTCATGATATAATGAGCTAGTGCCTAAGAGGCTTATCATTCATTTTCCTTGAGTTTTAAAAAACCATAGGCGGCAATGAGCAGACTGTATTTTCTGCTTTGCAGAGATATTAATTTTATTTGAAACATAAAAAGTGTTTTTCATGGATGTTTCTGAAGTAATAGTTTTGGATGGAATTGTTAAAATATTAAATAATATGTTTTCTTATATGAGTGTTCTTACTTAAGACTCATGTGATGATGATAAATTGAAAACAAAGGCAATATGCTGGAGGTGTGGTGGGATAGTGAGGAGAAGAGCAGGAGTCAGAAGATGTGCGCATCTAGCCCGTCTCTGCTCACCATTGTCCAGAAGCAGCTGGGTATCAATTTCTTATCTGTAAATGATGAAAACCCAGTGTTTACTGAATTTTGACCATAGGCCAGGCACAGTTCTAAATGAATTGGGCAAGAACCTATTTAATCCTCAAAACAATTATTTTAATCCCATCATTACCTATTATCGTATTATTATTCCATCCTTCAGAGACAGAAACTGAGGCACAGGAGGAATTTCCCAGTCACACAGCTAGTGCAGACAGAGCCCAGCTTCTAACCCAGATTGTCTTTCTCGCAAACTGAGGGCTTAACCCCCATCCAGCACTGTCTGTCTAATAGAACTTCCTGTTATGATGGAAACACACTTGGTGACTAACGAGCACTTGAAATGTGACTAATGCGACTGAGAAGCCGAATTTTTAATTTTGTTTGAATTAAACTAAGTTCAATTTAAATAAGAATACGTGGCTGGTGGCTACCACATTGGACATTGCAGCATGATGCTGATACTATCTTGAATCAGGCAGTCTATCTATAGGGACCCATCTAGCTTTAATACTTTGTAATTTAACAGGTTACAACTTTCCTTAATGTAGGAGTGAAAAGGCTGAAGTGGAGGGCAGATCCAGAGAACCAAGAGCAGTCTGTTGAGGTCACTCAGTGTAGACAGTGTCAACCGGTTGCTAAATGTGTCTAGAAAGACAGACTCCCGGGTCTTCCTTGGTAGTTGTTTAAACAACAACTCCGTCCCCCAGTGGCTGCCTGCATGTTCCAGGAAGATCCGAATCTGTTTTGTCTTGTTCCCCTTTTCTTTGTGGATAGAAAATAACTCATCAGCATTCTTTGTTATGGGCATTCCCATTTATGAGAGGATTTATTTCATTGCAATATTCTTTCCTCAACCTGTTAAATTTGCCTAGACCCTTTCTCTTCAGTTTTTAGCTAGGAGTTTAATTTTTAATTCTTGTGTTTCTTCTTAATTTTACTTCCCCAGGTGCAATGAATACGGTTTAGTGAATGGATTCAGGTTAGATCTAGGTCCCTAAGTGTAACAATGTGGAACTGGCCCTACTGAGCACAAACTAATTTGAAGATAATTTACTTAATTTTGGGTTTCCATTTGCGCTTTCTTTCTACACTCTAAAGTGGATCCTTTGAAGTCTTAATAATTATATTCTTATTTATATTTCTCAGAGTTTTGGGGAAAAAAAAATACTGTTACCTGTCCTGGAACTGGTTTCTGTTGAATAGCCTGCTGTATTGTACGGCTTAACCTATCAGTGTTGAGCGGGTAATTTTCTTTAGGGTAAAGATTGGCTCATTTTTAAAGTAAGTAATTTGGCTGAACTAAGAATGAATCCCAAACTCTCCACTTTGTGGTTGGTCCATGTACAAACTAGACCATGCTGCCTCTTTAGACTTTCTTATGAATACCAGGCTAACGTGCTAACACAACCACTGTAAGGATAAGAACATCTTTTATTTTTCAGAGTCCCATGTATTTAGAATATACATTTAACAATGCCGATGGTCTCCTCTATGAGTGATTCTGTAAGATTAAAAATCGTTTTTTATTTCTTTATTCTGTTGATTAATTAGGCATGGAATCCCCCAATATAGTAAATAATTGCAAGGTAAAAACTTAAAGTCTTCCCTTTCCTAAAGCACTTTACAAATTTCTGTGTGAAAAGATTATAAACTATACTTTGGGTTTTCTCTCACTAGTAGAGTATAAGATGCATAATTTATTATACTTGTAGATTAAAGAGTATTATAATTAAATACATTTTATTCTAACAAAACTTTATATTTTACTTTTCTTAGTTGGGAAGTTTGTGAGGGATTTCCAATTAATTTCAGTGGCACTAGTCAACAGATACCTGATCAATTTGAAACGGTGGACTTGGGGAACCATTTCCTACAGAACAAGGTCAGAATTATTTGTTATCCTTAATAAGATATTTTATGTATTGGACACTCAGTCAATACATGGTGACTGAGCAGATATTTGTGAAAGTTTTTGAAAACTATAAAATATTTTACAAATGTTGGGCAGGTATTATTTTTACTTACTATTAATTGATTAAATACTTTAAAACTGAACCAATATATAGCATTCCTACTTGATAACATTCTGCCTGAATTACCTCATCTAGGTACTATTGTCTAGCATATTTCCTTTATCCCAATTGTATTAATAAGTTGGAGTTGTTTCAGCAGGTCTTTCAGAGGGCTGTTATCTCTCTGCACTTGAGGATCGGGTCTATTTGTTCTATGGGTCCATGTGTCAAAGCAACAGGAGTTTTTTAGAAAACTTAACTCATGGCAACCCAATACAGAAAGTCTACTTATTAATTTACACTTAGAAATTTATCCTGCCAGTACAGAATTTTTTCCTGGCTGAGCTGTGACAGGTGTTTTAGACATGTCTCTGGTGCAGGAATAATTCCTTCATTCTTCACAGCTGTGAAACTGGGTAGGGTTGTTCTTCATCTCACCTGCACAAGCTTTAGTTTTTGAGCTCTTGAAATCCAAACCAAAAAGCACCCTCTGAGACAGAGATACCCAAAGAAGGTAGGACTTCCTGTCTGCTGGTTTGGGCCCTTTCTTTCCAAGAGACAATGCCAAAGATACATTGTCCCGTCCTGGTCTTTTTGAATTTCTCACTGCCACCCATTCAGTCTATTATGTCAAAATTTATACTGAAAATATTACTTGTTTTAAGGCATATATGAATCTAAATAGTAAAATTATAAAAATAGAATAAAATAATTATTTCTAATCTAGTCTATTTTTGAACAAATTTAGAAAATAAAGTTGAATGATTTGAGTTATGTAATATAAGTTGAATGGTGTGCTAAGAATTAATGCCTTTTATATTTTATGTTCATCTGACATTAAGATTTATTTACCATAGCTCTGATCATTTTGGCGTTCCTTTTTAGGTTTGTGTTGTAGCCTGGCCATTGTCCACCGAGGTTTCCTGTCTTCCTCTGGCCTTCTGCGATTCCCCTCCAATCTTCCCCCACTCTCACCTTGCTTTTCCAGTCTTACCCTCTTCTCCATCTTCTGGTACCCTACACTGCAGTCAGAGCTGTAAATTGTGAACCATAACATGCCCTCACTTTGCTGTACTGCTACCGGGGCATGTTGTTCTTTGCACAGGATATACCACCCACCATCGCCATTCCTTGCCTTTTAAGGCTTCACTCACCTTCCTCTTCCCCCTTGAAGCCTTCCCAGATCCTCCAGAGAGAATTAACCTCAAAATGTTTCGTGTTCTTAGTACTCTTTTCATCCTGTAAAAGTGGTTCTCAGAGTTTGTGTTTTGGCATAGGCTTTTGTTTCTGTGTCTTTCTCCTCCACTAAATTGAGAATTCTCTGGGCACTGGTGTTGTGTCTCACTTGTCTTTTATTCCTGAGTGCTGCACCAAGGCTTGAAGGTAGGGCAGGTGCACAATACGTTTTTGAGGAATGGTTTTTCAAATTCCGCTGTAACCTGTCTTTCAAGGCTACTGTTCTGGCGTATCTTCTTTGTGTGTTAGCCAAGCCAGGCTGTTCATTTGTTGTTTTCTGAAAGCGCTCCAGGATATCTGTTATTACGCCTGTGTGGATCCCTCTGCCTGGAAGTCAGCCTCTCTTTCTTTGTCACCACCCCAGCCTTCGCTGTCCCCTTGTGCCATATCCTAGCACGATGTCTGGCATATAGTTGGCATTCAATAAATGCTTGTTGAAATCCTTCCCATCATTCTCACCTTCTCTGATTTGTGCCTGCTTCATGGACTCTTTCTTTACCCCAACCCCGCTCCCAAACCAGATGTGATGCTTCCAGCCTTGATCCCCCGTTGCATCCATCTGTGCCCTTCATAACAACACTGAACTCGATGCTGTTTCTCTTACAACATTTTTTGCGTGATTTGAAGTCAGCTAGTGCTCCGTGTTTGGGCATATTTCAGGTCACCCTGGGGTAGAAAGGGGAGAATGGTGGATTCGACTGAGAAAGTTGGGATCAGATAGTAAAGAGTCTTAACTCAGTGTTAGGGGTTCTGGATGTTCTGTAGAAGACGAGTCATTGGAAACATTCAAGCAGAGGCAAGATCTGATGTGATCCTTGTGAGAGGAAGGTAACTCAGGAGGCCCTTGTCTTATCCTCCCTGCTAGACTAGAAACTCCTCAAGGGCAGAGGGCAGCCTGATCATCCTTTCTCAGCTGCAATATCTGGATGCCTGGAGTTAGCTCAATGGAATTGCATTCGCTAGTTAACTAGCTCTTTCAACGGGAACCAGCTCACACCTGAAAGAAACATTGAATATCAAAGTTTTCAAAGCAGAAGAACCCAAAAGAGGTTTCTTTCTTTGATTTTAAACAAAGTAGGACTTTAAAATAAAACTGTCTTTTCTAATGTTGAGAAATGAGAGAATAACAATCCAGTTATTTCATCATTATTAATTGGTTCTAATGATTCAGTGGAAGTGGTAAAACAGTCATTTTAAATAAAAGTTTGCACTCTATTGTATTTTTAGAAGAAGAAATTGGTTTGGAATAAAATTCCAGTCCAACCAAAATAGTAAAATAAAGCAGATTTGATAAACTGGCTAGTAAAGAGAAGCTTTCAAAGAAAAATGCCCTCCCTTAGCTATGAAACCTTTAAAATCCTTCCAGAAAAATGCCTCCAATTATATACAGAGAAATGATCAGTGTATTGGAAATAGTAATTTAATCACCTGAAAAGGAGCACCTTTAAAGAGAGATTCAGGCGGAGGTGATGGTTATCTACAGGGCATTTTATTGTAGGATCTTGATGCTCATTGCGGTAAAGAAGACAGTAAGAGGATTACAACAGGGGTAGAGAGGAGGGAGGCAAAGGCAATATTCTTGATGCAGACACTTGAAAATGGGCTTGAGAGAGAGGCATCAGTGCCCAACCCCTGCCTGTTCTTTGTAATCTCTTATTGACAAGTGAAACCTTTCCTGCAGAGAAACGTTTGGAACATGTAATCCCTATTAGCAATGCGGGAGACAGATGTGACCCCGACAATTACAACCTGTTGCTCTTTTATCCATTTCAAAAAAAGATTTGGAATCTACTACAAATGGACAATTTGGCGAATACATCTTTCAACAGTTTTCTATTGTTACTTCAATTGGCAACATTTTTAGATGGCCCCAGTTTAAGGGCAATACAATTATATGTTTCCATGAAATGAATGAAATTTAAACTTCATGGTAGTTAATATAAAAGAAAAAGCATTTCATAAGCAGAATGGTTTGAGGAAAGCCTGGTTATGGGAAAATATGGTGGAAAAACGGACCCCTGTGTTTGGCAGATTATGTATTCTCCCCAAATGAAAAGGAAACTTATTTTGATCCTACCCTTTCAGTATGATCAGACATCAGAGGACATTCATGACAGCTTTCAGTATGGAAACAGCAAGAAAAATACCAAGTTATGATTTTAGGACTATGGCATGCTTGTTATAAGCTAACTTGCAAATTCAGCAGTCATGGGCGCCAGCAGAATGTATTATTCTGTTTGTCACAAAGGAGCTGGGAGAAGGCAAATGGTTCTTTACTTTCCTGTTTCTTTGGAGAGCAAGTCACTGAGAAATAATGTTTTCTACAAATAACTTACACTGGGGAAAATACAACATTTTAATGTAAACTTTGAACCGATTGCCTTTAGACTAGGACACAGGACTTTAATTAAAATCCAAACTCCTTTATTTTTAGGCCAACAGTTGAAAGCTACGTGAGTACTATATAACCAGTCTTAGATATTTCCCCTCATTTGCTTGCATAATGATGTACTCACCAGTATTTTCTGCTTTCACACTTTTCCAGTTCTTGGCCTTAGAGCCGAGTGGATTGATCAGTGATAGATCTAGAGAATGGAGACAGTAAGAGTGAACATCAGGCCCAAGAGGAAAGAGACTTTAGAACACTTCTTATAGTTGTGATTTTAATTTGTGTATCAAATTATTTCACTTGGCCCTAAATTCACTATCAAAAATGAAAAATCTTATACAATTTTTATGTAGAAAAGCAAACAGTTTGTTTAGAATGAGGGTTGTGGTCTATGAGCGTCTTCTTTCAAGGAAAATTTTATTGTCTTGTGTTTTGTTCCTCGGTAGATCTGCCAGAAAAGACCGTACGTGGTTCTCTTACTACTGTTGAATTTTCCCAGGAATATTGAAGGCTGCTCCACTTTCATTAGGGACTTGGAAAAAGAAAACTAAGCAGGAAGTTTTAACTGGCCCAGCAGGTGCATGCGTCATTTCTGTCACCGGCAGCTTCTATATCAGCACAGTTTATTCAGACAAGCAAAATCAGAGTGGTCGTCTAAAGGGACTATGTATATAGATAGGCAAGAGAATTGAAGAGATTTTCTGTTTTTGATTCTCAATGGGATTTAAAAAGGTTTTCTAATGACATTCATGACGAGACGTATTTAGAGACCAGTCTCAACATAAATGCTTTTATACATGCCCGTGCGTGCACACGTGTGCACACACATGTGCACACACACACCTGGCATATTATGTTGCAGGCTGTCAGAGCACTTTTCTTTTCTGGATTCCAGTTTTCACAGTTTCTATCTTCCCCACCTTTATGAATGTTTGATCTAAAGGTAAGCTATCAGATTAAATTAAAAAGAAAAAATAAGGTGAAGTTACGAAGAGAAATTTTGTGGCCATTGTCAGTTTTAAGTATGTTAGAACCCCAGGCTTGGCAGGATCTTTTTTTAATAACACGAAATGAAGCTGATCTCGTGGGCCCGGCTCTGTCTGGTCTGAGTAGAGTCACTTGGGACCTGTCCAGCAAAATCTCTCTCGGAGAACAGCATGGTGTTCAAACTGGGTGCCAACCCAGGACAGACACAAAGGACCCCTTCCTTCTTCACCAATGAGCCAACTGTTAAAAGATTAAACCATGTGGTGGAGATAACAAGAATTTAGGCGCTGGCAGCAGGTGCTACACAAAGAAGCAGTTGGCAGTACAGTTCTTCTGTCTGACTAATTCCAGTCAAAACAATCTTTCTCCCAGTTGCAAAGGAGAGTTTTGAGTGTGATGGCAACTGGAAGTTAGAGGGTGAGCAAGAGCGCCACTTTCAAGGCTGCGTCCTGTGGCGGGCGGATTAGTAGAATATAGTTTATCATTGTTCAGAAACTGTGGGGACTCCCCTCCAGAATCTGGTCACCACTGCCTGACTGGGGCAGACGCAATCAAAGAGCGGTAGGTCACATCTGCTTATGTGGCAGGGCTGCTGGATTTTTTAAATTTTGTTTTCACACATAGGAGTCATATGACATCTCCTCCTCTTGAGAAGTGACTATCTCCCATTATAGAATAATTACCAAATATATTAGTTATACCCTTTTATTATTGCCTGGTCACATTTGTAAAATATTACCTTTTAAATTATCATTAAATTTTTGTTTTTCTAAAAATCATTTGCTACTCAAAAAATATCTAATATTAGCAAAGATTTAGAAATGACTTTTTAATATTAGAGAATAACTTAAATTGATTTGAATCAATGCCATTTATTGGGTTTAAAGGGTAAATAGGTGTATTCCGGTAATCCTATACAAATAAATATTGGTACTTAAAAACTTAGCATGATTGCTCTGGGAAAGTGATCATATAAATTAGGAGACAAAGTTTATTAAATATGAAGTAGTGGAATTCCTGCAAGTGATGTGAATGCCTGTTAATTTGACAATCAAGTCTGAGTGGGAAATGCCAGAATGTGTGCAATGCCTCTGACCTGTGTGATCTGAAGACAACTACGGGTGTTAGCGACCAGTGTCTCCCCACTCGGCCCTCCCCATCCATTCCCACAATGGCCTCTGAAGTCTGAGCTCATATCCTTTCTTCTTAGGAGTTTGTGAGGACTCCCACCTGTTCTCACTGCCTGATGTCTCCATTCTGCTAATCCCTTGTGTCTACCCTTGCCAGATCAACCTTGCTACATAGTAACTGCCTATAATCCAGTCCCTCCTGCTTGAAAGCTTTCACTGGCTCCCTCCTGATGCCTAGCTCCACACCCTTACACTGGACTCCTTCTAGGTTTTTAAAGATTTTATATTTTTTCCTTTTTCTCCCCAAAGCCTCCCGGTACATAGTTGTATATTCTTCGTTGTGGGTCCTTCTAGTTGTGGCATGTGGGACTGCCTCAGCATGGTCTGATGAGCAGTGCCATGTCCGCGCCCAGGATTCGAACCAACGAAACACTGGGCCTCCTGCAGCGGAGCGCGCGAACTTAACCACTCGGCCACGGGGCCAGCCCCTGGAACTCCTTGTAGGTTTGGCCAGATTTACCCTTTAGCCTACCAACAAATCCTAAGACTCATTGACTATATGCTTCTTTGCCCTTGCTTGGAATACCTTTTTATTCTTCACTATTCCTCTCAAACTGTCTCCATCCTTCAAGGCCTGGTTCAGATCTCACCTCTTCCCGGATGCTCCACTTTTTGTTGCTCCAGCAGAAATGAGCCTACAATTCTTTGCATACCTATAATACTGTTTAGTCATCTGTATGGAGCTTAACATGAAATTGAGTGTGTGTGTCTGTGTGTGTTATTGCCTCTACTGTAAATTTCTTTAGGGCAGGAAAAATGTTTTATAATATCCTGCACCACGCAATTTAGGGCCTTGCATATCAGAGCCAGTGCTCGAAATAATTAATTGAGTTTAATTAAATGGGTTTGAGCAGTACTATTTCAAAAGAGATCTTATCAATCAGAAACCTATGTTCTAGAATAACTCATTTTGAGTGAGTGCATGGAGGAAGATTAGCTTTCAGACTGTAGTTACAAACGCATCTTCCTCTTCACGGTGTAGGTGGACCCCAGTATTATCCTTCACGCCTCTGTTTCCGTTGCGAAGCAGAGCTTCTCCGGTACTGCGGCGAGCGGCGGGAGTCAGATGGTGACATCCACCCTGTGGCCCGCAGCCAGCGTGTGGCTGATCACAAAGGTACCCAAGAGTGTCTGCTCTCCCTGGGTGACTCCCCAGCCCCAGCTCCCAGTGTCGTCACGCACACAAGCACGCAGATGAAAGCGAGACAACTTGTTGGCTGTTACAAAGGCTACCTCTCTGCTCTTGGCTTTGTCTGGTGGAGAGGACTCCTGTAGACGGCCACGTGAGCATTCACTCACTTTAGATGTGCTGCTTAGTTCAGACCCCAGAGTGTTTAAGCCCAGCAGAGAGCCTACGTATAGGCCGCAGACTCAGTGTTTTCAAGAGGTTTGCCTGTCTGTTATTTGGTTCCACCCCTTGTTCTTTATCTTGGGGCTTCCCAGAGCCTGTGGGATTCGCAGCATACTGTGATGGCATATGGTCTTGTAAGGACGGTTTTAGAGGAAGTCCTGAGTATGAAATGTGAACAATGCCTAACACGTTTCATACCTGAGGATTGGTGCTATTTCATTTTTTTACTTTATTATTATACAATCGGATCTGATTTAATTGAGAACATCTGATTGCCCCTCCCTTCCCTCTTACTATTGAAATATGTCTTGTAATTGCCACCAAATATTTGTGTCTGGAAAGAGACGGTGTAGCTGGTGTCTACCCTTCTTGTGTCTTGCATCCCTTTGCCTCCTCACCATAGATGGTTTTTCTTCTTCCCGGCACTCCCAGGGGCCCAGAATCACCCGGGCAAGTTTGCTGCTAGGAGCTTGGGGGCAAGGGGGTTGAGACTCGTTTCTCAAATGCAGTGTGGGTTGCCCTTAGCTGCTGTTCTTTCATTCTCTGAGAGTTAAAAACAAGCCTACGGAGTAATTAAGATGCAGGGGATTAAGAGAGGTTGTTCACTTCACATACCGAGGAAGAATGAGGTTAGGGGAGAAGTAAATCTGCTCCCAACCTGGAGACCGACTGCCACCAGCCCTTTTAAAGTTGTATTTTGTCTCTGATTTAGTAACAATCTCCACAATTTTGTTAAACATCTGCTAGACATCATGCATCTTATACATGTTTATTATCTCATTTAATTTTATAAAAATTGTGCAGGTTTTCATGTTATAGCCAAATGAATTGAGGCTCATAAGTAGCAGAGGAAGGATTCTTGGTCTGTCTGTTTTCAAAACCTAGGCCTTTTCACTGTCATATAAAACATTGCTCCATGTTTACCAATTTATGAGCACGGTGGCAGTGTTCTAGTTTTACCTCTGCTGCTGAATAGCTGTGTGACCTCAGGTGAGCCACATGCTGTATCTGGGCCTTAGGCTTCTCATCCGAACAGAGTGGGACCAGCTGATGTGGACGGGCCTTTCCTACATCTGTTCTGTAACTCCATCGTATGTGCGTCTAGAATTTCATGATATCAAAAACCTTTACTCGTCTAAAATTTCCTCAAAAATAGTTGACGTGTTTACTGAAAAGAGTATGGGTTTTGGAGTTAGATAGATGGGAATTGGAATCTCTCTTGTGACCCTGGGAAAGTTACTCGGCAGCACCGAACCACTCTCTCCTTATCTGTAAAGTGCAGTGAGGCATAGCTGCGTTGCACAGTTGCTGTGGGGACTGATAAATGAGACAGCACGTGTGAAGTCCAAACAGTGTCTGGTATACAGAAAGTGCTGATATAATGCTGATTCTTTTTCCTCACCTCAAGCAGTTTCCTTTCTGTGTAGACAAGCGTATTCAAATGAGGATTCCAGTCAGTGCTGATTAGAACCAAAATTTTTAAAGAATACTTTTCCTAAGTCTTGAGATATTTCTTTTCCACATAACAAAAAACATGAGAAATAAAAGTTCCATGCTAAAAAGAAAACAATTTTGAAAATATTTTTAGATTGAACATTCTCTCCCTTTTTCAAAATAAATCTTTTTACTTGTTAGGATAGAGAATTTTGCAGGCTGAAAATCCTCAATATGTGTAAATGAATTCTTCAGTCTGTTGCCACTTATTTAAAATGTTGTGTTGATTCTCTAAGTGAGAAAAATTGTTAAATGACCATTCAAACAGTATTCCCAATCTGTTCTCTATCAGAGAATCCTAACATTTAAAACAAAAGCGTTCACACACCACCTTAAAATGTTTAACCTGTGGTGTGTAGACCCAGAGGAAAACTTTAAATTGCTACAAAGTTTACGTATTTGTTTCAATCTTTTCAGCTCCCTGCATTTTTTTGTGTGCATACATGTTTCCAGTCAGCTCCGTAGTTGTAACTGTAACAAGTGACTTGTGATGGACCCAAATAGCTGCACTGTGAAATATGCACAGAAAAAAAGGGCAAATGAAGATATCAAGGTTTGCTTTATTTTGCGCTGAACTGTGAAATGCCACCCTTGTCAGACAGGAGCTCACTGGCTCTGAGCAGGGCTCGTGCCTGCTAAGTTGAGGGTAGTGTTTCACTTTCGGCAACTGTTAATATCCGGGGTTATCCAGGCATAATGACCTCACTATTTGTGACGCATTGTTGAATTTTCTGGTTCTTTTAACTTATTTAGACCTTTCTCCCCCCTCTCTGTTTGTGGGAAGACTGGAATGATCCTGAGCCGAGCAGTAACTCAGGGCTGCCTGGCTGTTGGTTGTCCGATCAGAGTCAAGGCCGCTGACGGAGCGTCGCTAGATGGACATAAATTAATCCTACAGAAAAGGTAACGCTTACGAGCTGGTTAGCTCAGAACAATACATGGTAATTTCAAGATCTCCGAGCCATCAAATCATGATGCCTTCTGGCTGAGATGAAATGTTCGTTAGGTGTTTAAATTTGTGTTCATAATATCAATATTAATTTTTATAATCTAAAATAAGCTTGAAAATATATGCCGCTTAGCTTGGTAGCATTTCTGAGATATTTTTAAAAGTAAAAAGTCGGCCTTCATGTGTCCCTGTGTTGTAGACGAGCTGCTGCTTTAATCTATACTTATCAGAACTCTTCTTTATTTCCATTTTGATTGCTAATTTAAAAATTTAATGTTCTGTGCATATTCCTAACCTTTTCCCCATCTTCTAAATATGAAATATTGAACTGTGAAAGAAAAATCAAAAAATTACTGGCTTGTAAGGCACTAAAAAGTGTACTTCTTGTGTGTTTTTTCTGACTTGGGAAGATAAAATTGAAATTAAAAAGTAAATTAAAAAAATTCAGCAATGGGGAAGAAAGTTGATTTCTCTTCAATAGTCTGGAAATATTTTTGCCTAGATGCTTTCTTTTTCTCACTCATTTATCTTCTGCTTTCACCTAGTGTTGACAAAAACAAGTTCTGCTCTCCTTCAGGACTTAGAGAGCTCTTAGGCAACTGTCGGCTGGATAGGCAGCTAGGACGTGCGTAAGGCTGACACCAGGACTAGAGCACGTGGGCAGCAGAGAAGGCAGCCCAGCTGCAAATACAGAAGGGAAGTTTTCTGTAACATGCAAAACAGATTGTCCAACAGGAATCAGAATATCACTTCATGGTTAAGACCATGTTCTACAGAGTCAGATTTCCGGGTGTAAATACTGGCTGTACCTCCTACTCTAACAAAAAAAATGTTATGAGCCAGACACTATTCTAATTTCTTTATGTTGTAGTATCACATTTAACCCTTACAACAACCTGATAAGGTGTGTATCATTATTATTTTTACATGTAAGGAAATTGAGGTGCAGAGAAGTCAATCAGTTACTCAAAGTCATACCTACTAAGTGGTCAGGCGGGAATGCAGACCCAAGCAGTCAGATTCTGTAACTCACTCTTAGCCACAAAGCTACACTGCCTGTAGGTCAAAATCCAGACAGTTGCCATTGAGTGCCAAGTGTGGTAGCAGATATCTCAGGGCATGAGTAGGGTGCATTAATTGAGAAGCCCAGGCAGAAGGGAGAGGGAGCCAGTAGCTTGGCAGCCTGCAAACTGGCCAGTGCTAGTAGGGTCTCAAATACGTAGATCCCAAGGAAGGGCAAACAAACCCAAAGGAAGTCCCAGTTTGATGTGGTGCTGTATGTGGAGTGGGTAGCAAGGTTTCTAGAGCAGAATCAGTGCTGTAAACTGGAGACATGTCAAGAATCAGTTTGCAGTGATAATGACAAGGCCAAATCATGGAACATGGAGCCAGAGATGCTTCAGCTCATTGAGTCCATGGTTCTAGCAAAGAGAAAAACCCATCGATTATAAGTGACCCAGATATGACACAGATCATAGACTTCATAGATGGGATATTAAAACAGTTACTGTAACTGTGTTCCATGTATTGGAGAAGCTAGAGGAAAGATTGAACATATTAAGTGGAGGCATGGAAGACATAAAAAGACTCAAATCAAATGTCTAGAAATGAAAGCTGCAATGTATGGAATGAAAACTATGCTTAATGTGACTAATGGCAGATTAGACATTGTGGAAGAAAATATTAGTGAACTTGAAGAGATAGCAATAGAAATGAATCACAATGAAAACAGGAGAGAAAAATATTGAAAACAAAATGGACAGAGCATCAAAGAGATGTGAGAAACTTCATATAGCCTAATCACTGAGTAATTAGAGGCTCTGAAGGGAAGAAGCTGGGAAAAGAAAAATGTTGGAAGAAATGATGTCTGAAAAGTTTCCAAATTTTGTGAGAACTATAACCCACAGATCTAAGAAGTTCAACAAATTCCAAGCACAAGAAATGTGAAGAAATGAAACCAAAGAAAATCATAATAAAGTAGCTTAAAATTGGTGATAAAGAGAAAATCTTAAAAGCAGACAAAGGGAAAAGACATAGTATGTGTAAGAGGGACAAAGAGAGGACTGACGGCAGATTTCTTGTTGGCAATAATGCAAGTGAAAAGGCAGTGGGCGAGCATCTCACAAACTGGAAGAATTTATCACCACCAAACCAGACCTGCACAGCAATGTTAGAGGAAGCCCTTTAAGTAGCAGATCCATCTATATGCTAACCTTCAAAAAACCTGCTTTAAATATGTAAGACACAAACAGGTTGAAAGTAAATGCATGGAAAATGTATGCAATGATGAAACTGATCCAAAGAAGGCTAGAATAGCTAAATGAATATCATTTGTTCCTGGTAATATTCTTTGCACTGAAGCCTACTTTCCCAATGAAAATATCTTTGGAATATTAAGGCATGATGATTGAGAGGTTAATTCATCAAGAAGACCTAACAATCCTGTACATTTGTTCACTTCATAACCCAGCTTCAAAATACATGAAGTGAGAGCTGATAGAACTGCAAGGAGAAGGAGAAAAATCTACAGCTGTCGTCAGCAGTGACAGTGCGCTGTTTCAATAATTAATAGGACAAGTGGAAACAATCTGTAAGGAAACAGAAGACTAGAACAACGCCATCGACTGACTAACTGATATTTTCAGAGTAATGCACCCAACAGCAGCAAAAGACATATTCATTTCAAGTGCACAGAGTATTAACCAAAATACACTATATTCTGGCTATAAAACAGTCTCAAAATACTTAGCAGAATTTAAGTATTATAAAGTATGTTCTCTGACCATAATGGAGGTAAATTAGAAATCAACAGCAGAAAGCTTTCTGGAAAACCCCTAAATATATGGACACTAAGTAACACATTTCTAAATAACCCGTGGATCAAAGAAGAAAATCCAAATTAGCAAGTATTTTGAACTGAATGAAAATGAAAATGAAAACACAACATATTAAAATTTGTAGGATGCTCCTAAAGAAGTTCCCAGGAACTGTTCAGGAAATAAATAAAGCAAGAGGACAAATGAAAGAGGTGATATCACACAGTTACTAAAGGGATAGTAAAGTAATCTTTTGAACAACTATGTGCCAATAAATTTGTCAACTTAGATGATAAGGACCAATTCCTTAAAAGGCACAAACTACTAATGTCTACTCAAGAATAAATAGGTAACCTAAATAGTCCTATATCTCTTACAGAGATTGAATTTTTAGTTGAAAACCTCCCCACAAAGAAAACTCCAGGCCCAGATGGTTTCACTAGCCTCTGGGGAATTCTTCCAAATATTTTAGGAAAAAATAATACCAGTTCTACACATTCTCATCCAGAAAATAGAAAAGGGAATACTTTCCAATTCATTCTCTGAGGACAGCTTTACTTTGATAACAAAAACCAGACAGACACAACAGGAAGAGAAATCACAGACTGATATTCCTCATGGACGTAAATGCAAAAGGCTCTCAACTAAATTTTAGCCAACTGAATAGAACGATGTATGAAAAAGCTAGGGGCTGGCCCAGTGGCGCAGCGGTTAAGTGCACATGTTCCACTTTGGCGGCCTGGGGTTCGCCAGTTTGGATCCTGCATGCGGACGTGGCACTGCTTGGCAAGCCATGCTGTGGTAGGTGTCCTGCATATAGAGTGGAGGAAGATGGGCACGGATGTTAGCTCCGGGCCAGTCTTCTTCAGCAAAAGGAGGAGGATTGGCAGATGTTAGCTCAGGGCTAATCTTCCTCAAAAAACAAAAAAAGAAGATAATATATTATGACCAACTCGAGTTTATTCCAACAAAGCAAAGTTCGTTTAACATTTGAAAATCAATCAGTATGAGTCACCATATTGGCAGAATAAAAAGGAAAAATGATAGGAACATAAAAATAGATATAGGAAAGCATTTAACAAAAGTCAACATCCATTCCTAATACAGCTCTCAGAAAGTTGAACACAAGGGAATTTTGTCAATATGGCAAAGGGCATCTATGAAAAACCTACAGGTAACATCATATTTGGTGATGAAAGACTGAATACTTCCTGCCTAAGGTCAGGAACAAGGCAAGGTTGTCCACTCTCACCATTCCTGTTCAGCATGCATGGAAACTTTTAGCCAGTGTAACAAGAAAAGGAAAAGAAATAAAAGTCATCTAGATAGGAATTGAAGAAGTAAAACTGTCTGTATTTTCAGATGATGTGATTGTCTATGTAGAAAATTCTATGAAATCAACAAAAAGTCTCTAGAACTAATAAATGAGTTTAGCAAGTCTTAGGGTTTGAGCTCAATATACATATATTAATGATGTTTCTATATACTTACGACAAACAATTGGGAATTGAAATTGAAAAATACCATTTACAATAACATCAATAGTATGAAATACTTAAGAATAAATCAGACAAAATATGTGCAAGACTTGTGACTGAAAACTATAAAACATTGCTGAGTGAAATAAAGAAGACCTAAATAAGTGCAGAGGTGCACCGTGTTCATGGATTGGAAGACTCAACATCATCATGATGTCCACTGCTCTCAAAGTGATCTGTAGGGTTAGTGCAATCTCAGTCAAAACCCCAGCAAGCTTCTCATAAAAACTATCAAACTGATTTTAAAATTCGCATAGAAATGCAAAGGACCTAAAATAGTCAAAACAACTGAAAAAGAAGAACAAAGTCGGCAGACCTTTTTACCTGACCTCAAGACTTATTATAAAACTACAATAATAAAAACAATGTGTTGGGGCTGGCCCAGTGGCGTAGCAGTTAAGTTCACACGCTCTGCTTAGGCAGCCTGGGCTTCGATTTCTTAAATGTGACGACAAAAAAAACATGATCCACAAAAATGTAAATTGACAAATTGGACCTCATTGAATTAAGAATTGCTGCTCTTTGAAAGAAATTGTCAAGAGAATGAAGAGACAAGCTTCATCCAAGGGGAAACTTTGCAAATAATGTATATTTGCAAAA